ACTTATCTGATCATTTTTAAATGGGTATATGACTATTTTCTTATTTTTCTTATGAGTGTTATCCATTGGGTATCCCTGAGAGTCAAAAAGGGAAAATATTGCTGCTTTTTTAACATACAAGTTGGTAATGTAATGGCCAGATGTTACTTTTGATACCAAAAATCTATCAAACAACTAGTGAGTCGGCTTCTCGCCCAAAAGGAAATTTCTTCAAGCTTCAATGATTCGAATATCTCATTATACTTTCTGGAATTGAACAAGGACCAGGGAGATTTTTGTAAAGAGAAGAGAAGAATCCCACAATTTCTTCAAGCTTTCTGTACTTTCTTATGATAAAAGAAAAAAGTGAAATTACTACTTATATGTTTACCATTCACAGTTTACCTATTATCTCATCTTTGTAGGTATTGTGAAGAAAGGCCTTTACTTTTGGGCAACATTGGAATGGGGGCAAGATTGTGCACTTATTACCAAAAATCATCCCCTGATGATCAAACTGGTGCATTATTGCGAAATGGGGGTGATAGCTTAGGGCATGTCATTGTCCTTGAACCTTCTGATAAATCTCCTTACATTGGAGATATAAAAGGTGGCTCAGTACAGGCATCTCTTGAAACAAACATGTACAGGTCACCTATATTCCCCCATAAGGTGCCAATGACTGACTATATATTGGTTCGTTCTGCAAAGGGGAAGCTTTCCCTCAGACGTATTGACAGAAATTTTGCAGTTGGCCAGCAGGTTGGTTGTTTTAAATTTGTCTATCTGGATGTGCTTTATCTTATTAACTTAATTTTTTTCTTATTTTAAACTTAATTTTTTTCTTATTTTAATTTTATCAGACTTTTTCTCTAATATTTGCTTGATTTCATACTTTAATGGCTGGATTTGATGATTTGATTGTTGGCTCTATTTACATAGATATTTACTCTTAAATGTTTTTGGATATTTATATGCCTTTTCTTAAGTACGGAAAGGATGAACTTTCTTGGAACTTTTTGGTTTAAGTACAATCTTATATATTTTCAATCTGATATTGTACATGGACAGAATATACAGTCGAGTGAAAGGTTCTTATCCGCTTGCAATTAAGTTGTTCCTTTCAATCAGGAATTGCATTTTAGTCAGTGTTATTGAGGCGCACTCGGGCGCTCGCCTCAAGCGAGAGGCGAGGCGATTTCACCTAGGTGCGCCTTGCAAGGTGCTCAAGTGAGTGCCTCGGCGAGCCTCGGTGCGCTTTTGCGCGCCTCTCTCCTGAGGCCGGGCGAGACGATCTGCCTTATTATTATTGTTTTTTTAATTTTTAATGTGTTTTTTATTAACAGAATCCTTCTCCCTCGTGAAATACCTCAGTCTACAAACCCTAATCATTCTCTCTGCCTCTCGATATTCACCTTCACCACCCTCAATCTCCGGCCATCGCCCGCTCCCGTCTCTGACCATCGCTGTTGCCGCTCCCGTCTCCAACTAAACTTATTGAATTTGGTTGTTTTATGTATCTTGTTGACATTTACTATGACACTATTTTGGTATTTATTTTTTAAACTATGTTTACTATATAAATTTATGCACTATATATATAATTTTTATTTATTTATTAAGGTGTGCCTCGCTTCACTCGGACATCGCCTTTGTATCGCCTCTCGCCTCAAGGCGGTCAAAGGGCTTGTTGCCTTGCTCCTTGAAAACATTGATTTTAGTTTCTGTCGGGGCTCAAAAAAGAGGCGGGTTGGAATTTTTGGAAATGATGAATGAGTTTCAGTCTATTTATAAGGATATAGTTGCTTCTTCTAAGGAGATTCAAAATGATAATAAAGTGCCCAACTCTTCGGTTTTGGACACGGGGAGGAATTTTTCGATTAATACAGTTGTGGCTCCTTAAAAGGATTTTTGGATTAAAAAAGATAAGGAAGTAGTGGTATTGGATTTTCAATTAATTTTTGTAATTACAAGGCTTCATTCTTTTGAAGATTGGAAGTTAATTTCTGAAATTTGAAAAAAAGAAGTTTCAGGGAGCTGTTTGATTGAATTTATTTTCAGCTGATAAAGCTCAACTAAAAATGAGTGATTGCTAGGATATTGAGGTTAAGAGATAATTAATTATTGGCAAAAGTTTGGTGGTATTTACATCAATATCAAAAAATGGTGTGCTAAAATCATGGAAAGGTTGAGTTGGTTGGGAGCAGCTCACCTTCTCTCGGTGGTGCTACAAGGAAAGTTCCTTCGTAATTGTAGCCTTTCTATGATTATTCAAGATTGGAGAACCATTCTTATTTACTTTTGGGAGGGAGTCTTCTCATCCCCTGCCTTAGGTTGTTTTGTTTTCTTTATAAAAGAGTTGGCTGGGAGCTATGGAGCTTACCTTTCTTTAGGCATGCGGCTATAGGCAAACACTCCTTGGACGAGCATGCCCAAGACATTTTGTCCCACTTAATCGGTTGACGTTTCTATCAATTGAAGCAACTTGAAGTTGTCGATCTTCATCTTCTAAGCCTTGAGGTCTTCAACTCGTTCCCAACTGATCTCTCGATCGGGAAGGTTTTCCCACTTGACAAGAAAGTCTGAAGTCTACAAGTCGCGTTTCCCACCTTTCTAACTCTATTTGCTAGTATTTCTTTTGCTTCCTTGTCTTCTTTCGGCTTCAGGTCGATGACAGCACATAACAACATTCCGCCCCTCACTTATTGATTAGGATACTAGGGTTTCAAGTTATTCACATGGGTTACGGGGTGAATCTTCATCCATGAGGGTAACACCGCCCTATAAGTGATGTTCCCAACTTTCTTGAGAACTTTGAGATCCTTTGTACTTTTTGACTAGTCTCTGATTTATGCGGCCTTGAAAAGGATCTCTTCTGGTCTCAACTTGATAAGGACTTAGTCACCTATCCAGAACTCGAGAAGGTGATGCTTGCAATCTGCCCACTCCTTCATATGTTTGGAGGTTTTTTCTTAGTAGGCTTGGGCAATCTGATGTAATCAGTTAGTTTATATTCTGTTTTAGTTGGTTAGTTAGGTATAAACAACCTTCTGTTAGTTATCTTTTAGTTAATTCCCTGTTAGTTATGGCTAGGTGCTTATAAAAGCCAGCCATCTCTGTAATCAGGCTGATCTTGATTAGAATTTCAGTTTTCTCTAATTGGTTTACACCAAATTGGTTTCAGAGCCCTAAACAATTCTTAGGATCCAGTGTTTTCAAGGCGCAAGGCGCACCTCAAGGCGACAAGCCCTTCCATCGCCTCAAGGCGAGAGGTGATAAAAAGGCGACACCTGAGTGAAGCGAGGCGCACTACATAAAATGTTAAATAAATAATATTTATTAATAATTTATATGTAAAATAAATAAATATTCAATTTTAAAATGTGAAAATTAAAATAATAATAATATTTTAAATAAAAAATTAACTTAAAATAATTGATAAAAATAGAAATATTCGGAACAAAGAAAAAATAAGTAGAGAGAGAATTGTATTTGAAATAAGCTGCAAAAGAATTAAATAGAAATAGTTGTATTTATTGCAAACAGCTGTATTTATAGTAAACAGCTGTGTTCATGACCATGGGAAATAGGTGACAGCTAACTTATCATGCAAGCACATAGAAAAGTGAGCTGCCTTCCACCTTTCCGTTTTTTGAAAGGACTCTTCTCCTCAGACTTTTCTTCTTCAACTTCTTTCTTCAACATGTTCTGCAACTTCTTTCGTCAACATGTTCTGCTTCAGTTTTTCTTCTTCCTCCAAGTATACCATCTCTCCCTTATCATCTCCTATGGTTCTATTTTTGTCCTCTCTTCATCTTTTGTTTATTTTCATTATGAGGTGGGTTTTTATCAAGTTAAAATGATTTAAAATTAAA